CTTAGACTAAACCTAACATTCTGTTATCCGACATTTAGTTTCAGGACTTAGACTAAACCAAACATTCTGTTATCCGACATTTAATCTCAGGGCTTAGACTAAACCAAACATTCTGTTATCCGACCTTTAGTTTCAGGACTTAGAGTCGGCTTGCTTTTTGTTTGGTGAACCAATATTTAATTAATTCCTTATTAAGCGAAATGTTGATTCCAGATCAATTTGAATGATTGATTTGATTCCTGCTAATGTAAAACTTTTGGGTTGAATTACTGAAAACTCTTAAACTGAAAACTTGAAGTAATTGGGGCCGAAATTTAGGCACAAAGTTGTACAGTATGTACAGTATGTACATTGTACAGTATGTACAGTATGTACATATGTAAAGACTACGAACAACAAAAGTGAGATTGATGTGCAATTCCTAAACAATTTTAATGTTTAATTTAATTCCTGATCAAGTAAAATGTTTGGAGGTGTTGAACCATTTCACAAAGTCCAACTCCGCCTGCATGCGGACAAACAGGGATTCCTAAATTAATTACTTTTAAAACTATCGAAAAACCTCGTTATAAATTGTAAATCCCTATATCTTTGCATCCTGATGGTCAATACCTTTCATATTTCAAACTATGACTTCTATTAAATTTGATGTTGCTAAAGCAAATAGTTTTACTATTAGGTAAAAAATCAACTTATTAAGTTAAATAGTTTGTGAAAAGTGTCCAATATTCATATTCACTATTTAAAAACATAACTTGAATCCAACAGTCGTCTTCCTATTCCACAGTTCTACGGCATAGATGTCAAATTAAACTACATGAAAGAAGAACCATGGCATTTAGTTACTTAAAAACAGGGAATCAGAACTTTTCAGTCGTGAATCTTGGGATAAAGTATTGTCCTCCATCTTATGTAGATCTGCGGCTTTTTAAAATTCCTCCTCGATATCTGTTGGTGGGCCATGCATGAATACCTATAAATTGATTAGACAAAAATCCTCAAATTTAAAGCTGCCCACAATGGATATCGAAATCAAGCGTCAAAATAAACTTGTGTTAATACACTTTGTTAACTCAATAGATTGATCTAGATTAATTAATTAACAGATTTATTGATTGATTAGTTGAGTGATTGATTAATCAATAATAAGATTAATTGATCAATTGATTGATAGATCGACTATACCTAGTTTAGTTGCCATTAGATAAACAGCAAGAACCTCATTTAAGCCAGACATCCGGGCACTATCTACCTTTATATAATTTTAATTCAAGTCAGACATCCAGGCACTATCTACCTTTATATAATTTTATTTCAAGCCAGACATCCAGGCACTATCTACCTTTATATAATTTTATTTCAAGCCAGACATCCAGGCACTATCTACCTTTATATAATTTTATTTCAAGCCAGACATCCGGGCACTATCTACCTTTATATAATTTACTTGCTACTCAATTATAATAAAAAGAAATATTTTATAAAATTAAAGGTTTATTTTATTTATATAAAGAAGACACTTTGAAAAATAATTCCTCTCAAAATTGCTTCTAACACTATTTTTTAAAGAACTATTAGCAGTTAAAAACAAAACAAAATAAAACATATTAGTTTGCTTTTCTGACTCTAGGTGTTACGAGGTTGCAACAAAATAATGATTTTTGTTTGAATAAAAAACAATAAAAAGGCCATTTTCGATATCACAGTTATTTTGAAAGATTTTTTAAATTTTTCATCTTCTTTTTAGATCATTACTTTCTTTATATATTTCTTTATATTTTACTAGCAAGGTGTTTCAACTCCAAATATTTTTGTTTAAAACAATTTCTAATTTGACTCTGTTTTGAAATTTTAATTTCAAGGAGGGGGAGGAGGAAGCATTTAAACTTATTCAATCTAAAATGTGACCAACAGTGTTGAATTTGTAAATATTTTTGTGTTTTTGAACTAGTTTTTGTTAGATATTAAGTACACTTTTTAGAATTTTACTTTTTTAAATTAAATTTTTAAAAGAGAATTTTAATAAAAAACGCGGAATTTTTCCGCAATTAATTTCTCTTTTCTTTATTATCTTGTCAATCAATTGAAATATTATTTTCTACTAAATTGATTTAGAATTTGCATTTACATAAAAGGGTCTGTCGACTTAATTCAAGTGATCTTTAATTTCAAGAATCACAATAGTTCCCTTTAAACCTTTATACGAATTAAAAACAAGAAAATATTGTCGTTTGTCTTCTATTTTTAAATTTATAGGAACCTGGTTAATTGCTCATCCCTTTCTAAAACTGAAAAAAAAACCTTCGATTATTTGGTTGAATTTTAGTCAAATTCAGAATTGTCGTATAGTTTATTTTTTTAAACTAAAACAAAATTTTATTGCTGTAAAATGTTTTAAACTTAATTTTGCGGATTTTCCATTTTTTTCTTTTTTCATTTTTTACCAAAAAGTTTAAAACTATTTCAAAAGGGAAGAGGTTACCTATTCCTATATTTACCTGACAAAACTGTATTCCTCCTGACATCAGGAACATGTTTAGAGAGGTTACCCATTCCTATATTTACCTGACAAAACTGTTTTCCTCCTGACATCAGGAACATGTTTAGAGAGGTTACCCATTCCTATATTTACCTGACAAAACTGTATTCCTCCTGACATCAGGAACATGTTTATGGAGGTTGCCCATTCCTATATTTACCTGACAAAACTGTTTTCCTCCTGACATTAGGAAAATGTTTAGAGAGGTTGCCCATTCCTTTATTTACCTGACAAAACTGCATTCCTCTTGACATCAGGAACATGTTTAAAGAGGTTGCCCATTCCTTTATTTACCTGACAAAACTGTATTCCTCCTGACATCAGGAACATGTTTAGACAGGTTCCCCATTCCTATATTTACCTGACAAAACTGTATTCTTCCTGACATCAGGAACATGTTTAGACAAGTTACCCATTCCTGTATTTACCTGACAAAACTGTATTCTTCCTGACATCAGAAACATGTTTATTGAAGTTACCCATTCCTATATTTACCTGACAAAACTGAATTCCTCCTGACATCAGGAACGTGTTTATTGAAGTTACCCATTCCTATATTTACCTGACAAAACTGTATTCTTCCTGACATCAGGAACATGTTTAAAGAGGTTGCCCATTCCTATATTTACCTGACAAAACTGTATTCCTCCTGACATCAGGAACATGTTTAGAGAGGTTACCCATTCCTTTATTTACCTGACAAAACTGCATTCCTCCTGACATCAGGAACTGTTTAAACATGACTCTGTTCTGACAAGCTTCCCCTGTAGCCACTCCTATGTTCATCGGTTTCAAGGCCTGAAAGGGTAAAATTTAAAGGAACTGTGGATGTAATTTCAATGACCCGCTATTTACAACAGTGCATGGATAATGTAGATACATAGAGAAAGGAATCGAAGAGGTAAAGTTTGCCTCAGATGTACACAACCGTCCACCTTATTAATAAATTAACAGGGTAGTTTGTTGTGTACATCTGAGGTAAGCTTTACCTCTTCGTTTCCTTTCTCATGTGTAGATAGATATCTTTATTCTTACAGCAGAAAACTTAATTTCTGGATTCCAGGTACTACATTTATTGCTATAAAAATGTGAGCATTTACGTAATCCTTGATCAGTCCAAGATTTGAAGGGTACTGTTGTAAATAAGACGTGCTATTCTGTAAATAATTACGTCTACAGTGTCCGAATTTAATGAATTTGAGCAGCGTCTAAAATCCGCCCAAAACTGGTTCCAATTAAGCGCCGGCTTAAATCTTGAAACAATGAATGCGATTTAAAGTGGAATTAACCATATTTGAGCGGCGGCTTAAATTTAAGCCGCGGCTCAAATTATTTAAGCTCAGCCTCAGTTCTTTTAACATTTTATAGGAATTGTTCAGATTTTAGGGTATTGTCGAGGGGTAACAGTTATTGATGAAAGGATTCATGTTATACCTACAGGGTTACTACAGGGTTATCCACAAACAATGAAACTGTAAAGACGACCGGAAACTTGTATAATATCATAATCCCATGGTTAAATTAGGTTTTCCGCCCCGAATATTTAATGGCATATTTAATGGAATATTTAATGTTTTGGCAGAGAAAAAAAAAACAAGTTTACTGTTGCAAGGAATCGCGTGATTATTAGGAAGTAGACAGACAACTGTCTCGGAAGTCTCGTCCTTGCTGAATAACACTGTATCATAACCTTTGAGATGTCAGCATGAGCCTGAATGTCATCTGCACTTGTAGGTTCTTCAATCCAGATAGGGTTAAACCTTGCCAGTTGACCCATCCAGCTGATTGCCTTAAAAAAAGCATCAAGATAAGATTAAAAACTTCCAGTTTACCGCTTCACCGAATAGCTCTAATAATGCATCCAGATAGGGTTAAATATTGCCAGCTGATTGCCTTAAAAAACATTATGACAGAGTTAAAAACTGCCAGTTGACCCATCCAGCTTTTTCCTTTAATCAAGCATCAATATAAAGTTGATATTGCCAAATGACCCAGCCAGCTGATTCCCTAAAAAAACATCAGGACAGAGTTAAAAACTGTCAGTTGACCCATCCAGCTGTATCCCTTAATCAAGCATCAATATAAAGTTAAATACTGCCCATTGACCCAGCCAACTGATTGCCTAAAAAAAACATCAAGACAGAGATGGAAACTGCCAGTTGACCTATCCAGCTTTTTGCCTTAATCAAGCATCAATATAAAGTTAAATATTGCCAAATGGCCCAGCCAGCTAATTGCCTTAAAAAAACATCAAGACAGAGTTAAAAAACTGCCAGTTGACCCATGTAGCTTTTTGCCTTAATCTAGCATCAATATAAAGATAAATATTGCCAAATGACCCAGCCAGCTGATTGCCTTAAAAAACATCATGACAGAGTTAAAAACTGCCAGTTGACCATTTCCAACTTTTTGCCTTAATCTAGCATCAATATAAAGTTATATATTGCCAAATGACCCAGCCAGCTAATGGCCTTAAAAAATCATCAAGACAGATTTAAAAACTGCCAGTTGACCCATCCAGCTTTTTGCCTTAATCAAGCATCAATAAATAGTTAAATATTGCCAAACGACCCATCCAGCGTCGCAAAAAAGCATCCAGATAGGGTTAAATCTTGCCAGTTGGCCCATCCACCTGATTACCTAAAAAACATCCAGATAGGGTAAATCATGCAATTGCCCCCTTCCGACTGATAGCCTAAAAAGCATCCAGGTAGGATGAAATATTGCCAATTGACCCATAAAGCTCATAGCATTAAAAATCATAGAGATCTATGAAGAAAAAATAAAAAAGGTTTTTAAAATGCATTTGGTAATAACTTAATGATTGTTTATAAGAAAGTATTGAACATCCTTAGACCGATATTTTGGTCATTATGTTTATTTCACACATTTAAATCACATTTATCAACATTATCTTGTAAATTTAAAAAAGCAAAACTTACCTCCTGAGTTCCCCATTTCTGAATAATATCATTAATTGAATTTTTCAAAACGATATATTTTACTGAATTTTTGTCACAAACGCAAATTTTCTAGTATAATGTGGAATAGGAAGACGACATTAAAGCAAAACTTGAGTGTAAATGATGTTGTAACAAAGCAATAGTAAATTCTTCTTCCTCTAATTCCAGAGTTTTCTGGCTCTCACTCTACCACATTTGATTGCAAAGGTATATGCATTATTTAAAAGGGAAAAAACAAAATCTCTTAACCCCAAAATATGGCTTTAATATTGCAAAGACAATAACGAAAATGTACAGAATTTATCATTATCATGTCTTATCATCAATTAGATTCAACATGTTCACTTTTCAAGTCAAAGAGATATTTAAGAACAATAGATTTCAGTTATAAATTTGGCCAAAACCTGTAAAAAATAAAAAATAAAAATTTAGATATTTTGACTCTTAATTGCCTGATTCACAACGGTACCATTCACACTTTAGTCTGATCATAGATGAATGAGGTATTCTTCTTTTTCTCTCGGAAAATTTGTTCATATTAACTGTGGTTTTACTGATACTGGTTCAAAGAATACTATTGTGAATCGGACATGACGCTCTATAAATGGAGGGTCACTTGAAATTACATATACAGTTCCTCCAGGAGGTTAACTTTAATAAAAGAAATTGATTAACAATGATATTCCTGGTTTGCATCCACCATCATGTAATTGTTTGGTCCAATACAGTCCCGGAGTACTTCACATCTTCTGTTCTCAATCAATCAATTAAAAAATACATTTTTCAATAATATGATTATTCAATTAATCAGTTAATCAATTAATCCATTAACTAATCAATAAATCCATAATTTATTAATTAATGAACTAATCCATTAATTAATCAAGTAATCCATGAATTAATAAGTTAACCCATTAATTAATAAATTAATCAGTTGATTTAATTTCATTAACTGTTCCATTAATCATTTCATGAATCATTTCATGAATCATTTCATGAATCATTTCATTAATCATTTCATTAATCATTTCATTAATCATTTTATTAATCATTTCATCATTTCATTAAAAATTTCATTAATCATTTCATTATTCATTTCATTAATTATTTCATTAATCATTTCAATAATCATTTCAATAATCATTTCATTAATCATTTCATTAATCATTTCATTATTTATTTCAATAATCATTTCATTAATCATTTTATTAATCATTTCAATAATCATTTCATTAATCATTTCATTAATCATTTTATTAATCATTTCATTAATCATTTCATTAATCATTTCATTAATCATTTCATTAATCATTTCATTANTTTACTACTAACCTTATCTTCTGATCTGAGTATCCCAACCAACCAACTGCTGTTGTATAGAATTGTAAAGAATGTCTCAAAGACATACTCAAAGTATACTACTAACCTTATCTTCTGATCTGAGTATCCCAACCAACCAACTGCTGTTGTATAGGCGTGAACCCCAACCTCTAATATTTTTTTCTCACGCTCTTCACGCTCAGGCCTAAACCAGAAAATTTTAAAAGAAAGAAACTAATTAAACTTGTATGTTCATAACCTTCTTGCATGATGGATATTTACTAATCTATTATTGGTTAAACCTGATGAGATAAGACAAACAAGAAACCGGTTAAGTTTAAACAATCTCTTGCCAAATGTTTTAAAACCTGTGCGGAGCTTTTAATATTTCAAATATAGCAGTCTGTAAAAGTCTGTTTTGATCATGCAAAAATAAACAAACCACCAAAACCACTGTCCACCATTCACAAACAGTGATTTGGTTTCTTTTTTCTTTTATCTTGTGTTTTAGTAAATATTGAGCATGATGTAAAAATGAGAACTTTTTAAAATGATAACTTTAGAATGTCACAGATTTTGTAAAGACACTGGAAAGTCTAAAAAACAATAGTTTTCAAATAAAAAAATAAAAAGCTGTACTGCACGCCACTCACGCCACCAAGACATGCATAAAAAAGTAATTTTTTGGAAATTAACGAAGGTTTGGTAACAATTTTATTTTTACTCACTTGAACTTTAGAAGCAAACTTTTTGCCTCCTCTCTGGTTATACAATCTTCTATATACCTAAAATACAAAAGTTAAAATATTATAGAAATCAAAGTTATAAAATAGAAGTTTATGCGCCACATTCTTCTTAATCAAATGATCTAGTAGTTTTTTGAAGTTAACAAAAAAAAATTGCATGCTTTTTGATTTGCCAAATAACAATTCAAGTCAGTTCATTTAGACAAACAATTGATTTAAAGGGACTGTGAGCGTAAATAAGAGTGCCCCTCCATGCAAAGATTGCAATGTCTGATTTACAACGGTACCCTTAAAAGCTTTGTCTGATCAACTATGAATTAGAAGATTCACTAACAAAGGGTCAAACGAAAAATATAGGAATAATCAGAAGTTGATTCTTTTAAACTAAAAACACACCAATGTCTTCTACATTATCAGTCAAATAAAGGTTTCAAGGGTGAATCAGCCATCTTTGCAAGAAGGGTTACTTAAAATTATGCTTACAGTCCCTTTAAGACGGATAAAAAGATTACGTAAAATCTATAAGATTGATGATTTCCTCTGGTTCCATATCCACCAGAATCTTCCAAACTGGTTTCTTTTCTATCCGCCCCCTCAGATCCCACAGGGCATTCACCAGACCACCCATACTTAACNTATGAGTTTGGCCCACTTTAGTATTTATTCACTTTGACAAATATTAGATTAGAGTTGGTTCCACCAGAATCTTCCAAACTGGTTTCTTTTCTATCCTCCCCCTCAGATCCCACAGGGCATTCACCAGACCACCCATACTTAACCCTACAAATATTAGATTAGAGTTGGTAATTTTCATGGAACTTATTGATTGTGAAAAGATCAATTACTGTTCTATTCATACTTCAACATCTGAATTTACAGACCTTAATGACCTTTTTGCATAACCAAATGACATTTTTTGACTTTTGTTATCTCCCCAAGATGATCCCAATCTTTTTACAGGTCATACTTTAGGATGACTTTCTGTTTAAAGATTGTCATTTCCCATTCCCCCCAAAAAATTATCAGAATTAAACACTTTAAGCTAGAACAACAACGATATTTTCCATATTATTGATCAGATAAAGGTGTGAAGGGTACCGTTGTAAATCAAGCATGCTACTCTTGAATTAGCAGCCGATAGAGAGTATGAGTGTATATGTGTATCGTTTATTCTGTAACCCCTATCAGCTGATCTANTAATCAGAAGCTCTAACCCCGCTGCAAATCCTGTAGCCATTAACTTCGATTATACTATTAAAACGACAGCCCCTTGAACGCGTAATTACCTATAACACCTTTCTCTGGTCCGAGCCATCTCAGCTGTCCTTCATTGTTAACTTTATAGAGCCAGGATCCCATGTTTGAAAATATCTCCTGTTTTAAAAATAATACACTTAGAAAATGTTCAGAGACAACTTCAACATTTTAGTTTTATGCCAGGTCCAAAACATTCTTCAGGTTTGCATTTACAATATAAATAAAATAAATCTGGAAATTTTTGTCACCTTCAGGTTCTGCCCCAAGAAAAGAAATCTGTAAAAAAAAATTATTTTCAAAAACAAACTTTTGAATTGATTAAATAATGAATCTAGAAAAGAAAATCGAGGGAGCGCTTGCAAAAAAAAATGTTAGAGCATTTTTTAAATTCTAAAGCTATGATTACAACTTTTGTAAATCTGTGCGTATTTCGCTCATTTTCTAGCAAAAAGTGTTTATATTTTATGCACCTGTGTAAATCCTATTCTACCAGAAGACAAAGATCATGAAGATGAANTCCACAGCATGTTCTATTATGTACAAGTACTGTACACGACCAATCAGGAGACATCTGTATTCATGTATATTTAAGGATCCTGTGGTTACAAAGCACAAAATCTTCAAAAATAAACTGAATTCATAAATGTTATGTTTCATGTTTAAGATTGGAGTATTTCTTTAAAAGTTGTAAAGCTTAATTATATTCAACAAGTGGCCGTGAGATGGCACTCTAAAAACCTATCGTAAAAACGTAGCATGTCGTGCCGGATCAACTTAGGCCTACGTAGTCCACCCTGTGAAAGGAGATAAGTCTGTGTAGTCTGTGATCTGATCAAAATTGTGGAAGATACCGTAACGTTAACTCAAAAAGCGTTTATTTCCATAAGTTTTAAAGAAAAAAAACTGTGATATATAATTCAGACAAAGCTGGGTTCCGTTGTGAATCAGGCATCGCCATCTTTGAACCGACAATCACTTAAAATTACGTTTACAGTCTCTTTAATGTTTAACAGTTTCTTTAAAAAAGATTTTAAAATGTTTGAAAATATTCCTAAGTGAGTCAATACAGTGGGCTACGATCTCGTTCCCTCGTCCAAGAGTAAAGGTCAGACCGTATCCCTTCTCCCCTCTGATAAATTCAAAATAAATTAAATAAAAATTAGAATTTTCATTCTAATATTTTATAAAATTGAAGAAAAAAACTGTGAAAAAATAATTATGTTTTTTAAATCTTACAGTTTCATTTTCTTAATCGTTACTGGAAAAAACGCACAAATTTTTTATGTACTTTTTTTACAAATATTTAGTAAGGAATAAACAAAGAAATATTTGCAGAAAAAAAGAAAAGCCAGACATTTTTGGGTTAAAAGTCCTTTATTGGCAATACATGTTTAAGTTTTATTAATAAAGGAATTGAGTCTTTGCCACAAACTCTGATTTACTTTGATATTTCAAACAATAAATTTTAGTGACAAAGACTCGATTTCTTTACTTTTGTAATAATGAATTTATTTGCATTCCTAGCTGTAGTTAGAATTATATAGCAAGCAGAATAGTCTGGGCTAGGGTGTAGAGCATCAGATCCATCTAGCTCTATAGATATACATAGTTTATGGCAATATAGCTATAATAGTTGTATAGTTATATAGCCTTATAGCAAGCAGAATATTCTGTGCTAGGGTTTAGAGCATGAAAACCATCTAGCTCTATAGATATACATAGTTTATGGCAATATAACTATAATAGTTGTATAGTTATATAGCCTTATAGCAAGCAGAATAGTCTGTGCTAGGGTGTAGAGCATGAAAACCATCTAGCTCTATAGATATACAAAGTTTATGGCAATATAACTATAATAGTTATATAGTTATATAGCCTTATAGCAAGCAGAATAGTCTGGGCTAGGGTGTAGAGCATCAGATCCATCTCTATACATTATAAATCGATGTTTACAGGTAGCTCATAAAACTATGAAATAGGGAGATAACGACATTTAACCAATCTTTAGATGAAGTAGTAGTATTAGAACAGAGTTTTACCAGTAGCTTAACATCAATTTATTAAGTGAGATGGGTTTGTGTACAATTTACAATTTCTGTGCTTCATTCTCTCTGGAAATTTAAAGTCATAACTTGTGAATCAGGCCTTAATCTCTTTTAAACTTCAAGTAGCTAGTTCTATTTTTTTATTGAACCGGTTTTTTAATACTCACCCAAAGAAGTCGGAAACCTTATATCTTCGACAGTTAGTTCAGTGATAATATCATCAAATTTATCCATTTTATCTTCAACAGTTAGATCAGTGATAATATCATCAAATTTATCCATTTTATCTTCAATAGTTAGATCAGTGATATCAAATTTATCCATTTTATCTTCAACAGTTAGATCAGTGATAATATCATCAAATTTATCCATTTTATCTTCAATAGTTAGATCAGTGATAATATAATCAAATTTATCCATTTTATCATCAACAGTTAGATCAGTGATAATTGCAAAAATTTCTTTTTCTCTAATCCCTATATCTTTGAAACCTAATGTTGTATAGCTTTGCATGATATTTTAAACTAAGAATTCTGTTAGATCAAATAGTCTATGTTTGAAATATCAAATGTTTACACCTATACACCTAAAGTAAAGGATTCAGAAATTCAAGTTTGTCAACAAAAAATTTTAATCCAAAAGTCTTGAAAGCCAAAAAACGGACTTAAAAGGATGCTTATGCAAGGGCAGACATCATCCCTGTGTCAGGTCAAGCATAAACATTATATTTACTTATCTATTCATAAATACTTGATCATATAACGATTATTGATAAGAAACTGATATTAGTGATTAAACATGTTATATTTACTTATCTATTCATAAATACTTGATGATATAACGATTATTGATAAGAAACTGATATCAGTGAATAAACATGTTATATTTACTTATCTATTAATTAATACTTGATGATATAAGGATTATTGCTAAGTAACTGATATCAGTGTATAAACAAGTCTAGAAAACTGTGGTATTTTATCTTAAAAACAAGAACACTTGAAAATCATGTTTTTAAGGGAGGAAATTGGAGAAAACATCTTTTTAAATTTTGCAATTTTCTATCTATCTACCTTTTTATCTATCCGTCTCTGCAATTATAAATTTATCTATCTTTCTTTCTATCTATCTATCTATCTATTTATCTATACCTTTGTGTTGATAATCCCGCGGCTTCAAGTAATTATCCATAATTTTTGTTAAATCAAGGATTTGATTAATTCCTCTCGGATACCCTGCAGTCGGAATTCGTCGGAATCCATGGCGGGAGAAACTGTCAGAAAAAGTTACAAAATTTGAATTTGGTAAATTGGAACATATATCTAGATAAAACTGAAATATTCAAGGTATATAAATATAATAGCATTTTCCCAAGTACTCCTTAAAAATGGAAACCTTTTTGTGAAATTTTTATAGTTAGGACCAAAAAAAAGGTCCCCAACCTGGCGACACTTCAAAAAAAGCCCGATCTCAATTGTAGATGAACAATTTAACAGAGTTCAGTGTTGCAAGATAGGGGTGAGGGGAGGGTGGGAGGAATAGGGTTAAACATACTAAAGTGTAGATTTCACCATATATATATCTATGTTTACACAAGGTTTGATAAGAGAAGGATATCTCCGAGATAGGGATTTAAATCAGTTCGGTCTATCTCCAAGAGTGGGACTTCAATTAAGTTAAATAAATTAAACAAACATAAAAAATTAAGTTTAATATAGTTATTCTACTATTTATGTGTTTGACTAAATTGATACAAAAATGAAGGCTTTAATTCTACTCCTGGTGATGCAGGTAAAATTGAAAAAAAAGTATTAAGTGTTCAGTATTAAAGGGACTGTAAACTAAGTGTTCAGTGTTAAAGGAACTGTAAACTAAGTGTTCAGTGTTATAGGGACTGTAAACTAAGTGTTCAGTGTTATAGGGACTGTAAACTAAGTGTTCAGTGTTAAAGGGACTGTAAACTAAGTGTTCAGTGTTAAAGGGACTGTAAACTAAGTGTTCAGTGTTAAAGGAACTGTAAACTAAGTGTTCAGTGTTAAAAGGACTGTAAACTAAGTGTTCAGTGTTAAAGGGACTGTAAACTAAGTGTTCAGTGTTAAAGGGGCTGTAAGCTAAGTGTTCACAGAACAATTTATAGGATTTGTAAACTAAGTGTTGAGTGCTATAGGGACTTTAAACTAAGTGTTTACAGAACCATTTATAGGGACTGTAAACTAAGTGTTCAGTGTTATAGGGACTGTAAACTAAGTGTTCAGTGTTATAGGGACTGTAAACTAAGTGTTCAGTGTTAAAGGAACTGTAAACTAAGTGTAAAGTGTTAAAGGAACTGTAAACTAAGTGTTCAGTGTTAAAGGAACTATTTGCTATTAACTTTTAACAGGGGAAGAAAGTTCCAAATCGTGGTTCTGTTTCGAACCTGACAAATGTTCTATGAAATCAATAATCATCAAAAAATGACATTTTTTTATTTGTAGGAGTAAAGTATTTAAAATTTTGTTGTAAAAATGTAGCCTTAACTATTCTAAATCAAAGTATGCAAACAGTTTGTTACTTCTCGGCTTAAGTTATAAAATATAAAAAGGTAAAACAGAAACTTTGCCCATTTGGCCCATATCAAGGGTTGGAACTTTCTTCCCCTGAAATACACATATAATTTCTTCTTATTCCACAGTTTTATTGAGCTCACTGTAGTATGTATATCTAACTATCCGACCCGGACAATCTCAATCAAATTTAAATCTGTTGACTTCTAAAAATTCAAGAATATTTCAACAAAAAAAAAGTTTTTATTGATATATAATTTTTTTACTAAAATGTTCAGTATGCAAGCTGTGGACTCTATCCCAGGGATTCATCCAGTAGAGAGTCAAAAAGTCTAGATGGGATCTGGAGTTTTAAACTCTCGGATAAGGTAAAGTAGAGAATCAAAGAGTCTAAATGGGATCTGGAGTTTTAAACTCTCGAATAAGGTAAAGTAAAGAGTCAAAGAGTCTAGATGGGATCCGGAGTTTTTAACTCTCTGATAAGGTAAAGTAGAGAGTCAAATGTCGAAGAGTCTAGATGGGATCTAGTTTTAAACTCTCGGTTAGGTAAAAACTTTCTGAAAATCTTAACCATAGTTAACAGAGTTCAGTCGAGCTAAACCATAGATTACAGAGTTCAGACGAGCTAAACCATAGATTACAGAGTTCAGACAAGCTAATCCATAGATTACAGAGTTCAGACGAGCTAAACCATAGATTACAGAGTTCAGACAAGCTAAACCATAGTTAACAGAGTTCAGACGAGCTAAACCATAGATTACAGAGTTCAGACGAGCTAAACCATAGATTACAGAGTTCAGACAAGCTAAACCATAGATTACAGAGTTCAGACAAGCTAAACCATAGATTACAGAGTTCAGACGAGCTAAACCATAGATTACAGAGTTCAGACGAGCTAAACCATAGATTACAGAGTTCAGACGAGCTAAACCATAGATTACAGAGTTCAGACGAGCTAAACCATAGATTACAGAGTTCAGTAAACCATAGATTACAGAGTTCAGACGAGCTAAACCATAGATTACAGAGTTTAGATGAGATCAGAGTTTTAGATGTTGGATTTATTTAAACTGATAAATATTACTATTTCAGGGGATATTAGTCCCAAACCGGGTTTATGGTCCTAAATGTAGTTATGTTTAGATGGATCCAGATGTTGGGTTTAGAGAAGAATGGTACCAAGCTCCCCTGGACTTAAAGAATGATGTAATACATATGCCTGTACCCTCTAGCTACAATGATATCACAGTAGATCCCAATATAAGGCACAGAAAGAACAAAATAATGAAGTTTTAAATAGCGAGGATAAATCATTATTATAGGAGTTCCATTGCCAACCCTGTTGCACTGGAGACACATTTTTTTGACAATTTACTTGTTTAATAAAAAAACCTAATCGGTGACAACTATTTTTTTTAGATTCAACTTAGTAGCACTATACAATGCAATACAAAGGAGAGGTTTCAGATTATATGAATGAATGAATTATGATGAATCTTCTTGAAAAATAGGGTTTCCGATAAGAAATGCATCTCCGCGGCGGTACCCAGAGTTTTGGGAACGTTTGCTTTGGATGCTCATAATCCCAATCGCTTGATCTCGATATTCAATATTATCTTTCAATATCTTCATTTTAGTTATTCCTCCCCTAATCAAAGCTTCCTTCAACCCCTGACTGGGTACGATTACCATGCGGGATAAAGAATAAAGATTAAATTAATCTGCAGATTAACAAAACAAAAGTTTCCAGGTTTGATGATTTTACTCCAGCTTTATTTTTGCCCAAACCTTTAAATTTTCTGTGAAGAGATTATGTTGGCTGGGTTTGGTATGGAAGAAGGTTTTTTGTTCCTCAGTCCTGGAGGGAACAAAGTGTATTTGTCAGGTAATCCATTAAAGGTAGTGTTTGCGAATTTCAAAAAAGTAATTGAGGACAAACTGCAAGGGAGTGCTCTTAAAACATAAAATAGAGAGTATCATTATCAATTTATAACTGTGATATCAAAATTCAAAAAGAGATGAATCTAATTAAATGTGCATTTAAAAAAATTTAAATACATGCAGTGGGGAAGATATTATTAGTTACCCAGATCGCTTCACGTACGAGGATGCTAGAGCGTCGGAAAACCCGCCGGTTGGGGGGGTTCAACGCCATCGACCCTTAATATGAAAATTAACCTAAGTTTCACATACACAACTTTCTTCAGAACTATTTATTAAAGGATATAAAAGTAGAAAGGGCTATAGAATAAAAAAAAGATTTGACACATTATTTATCAATCTTAAATGAGTTTCCTGTGTAATAGTACAATGGGACCCATACAACTATATAATATGTGGTGCTGTTGGTATAAAGCAAATTGTTAAAATGGGTCTGTGTCCACAGCACACTTTTTTTGTTTCATGTTCTTTTGACTGTATTTAAAATCCTAAAGTGATTCTAGCAGTTGTCTAGCTATTCCACAGTTCTATGGGTCCCACTGCATAAAGCTTTTGAATTATCATATGCATATACGCTTCCTTCGTCTTTTGTCTTCTTAGATGTATACTCTATTCCAAGAGAAATATTTTAGGTTTGGATCTGTTCACTACACTGGAGCTGTGTACGTGAACGGGCGCCATGTTGGATCCCATAGTGGCGGCCATCTTCCTTTCTCATTTAATCTGTCAGCTGTTCTTAACTTTTCACAGGAACATATTTTCAAGCTTATGAACTCAATTGTTTATCTTTTTTCTATACTTGTAAGAGTCACACAAAAATATTAATACAACTTTTTTTTTAAAAAATAAGATTAATTGATAATTAATATACTAAAATAAGATAAACCAACTAAAAAATTTTAAATGTTAAAAAATAAAAAATCAATGAAAACATGAAAACAGGAAAACTGGATTACAGTTGCGGTTAATAATACTTTAACAAGGTTAGTATTTATCAAGAGGACAGTGACAGATCTTGAGGGTCTTCACTCATCCAAATCTCCCCAGCAGTCCTATGTATGTATGTAGTCAAATATGTTACAAATCCTGTCGCCCTTACTTTTACACAGTTCACACCTTGCATAAAAAGATATGATATCTAATTTTCTTTCTTAAATTCGATTTATACGCATATAGACACTTTCAAGGTCTTATTCTTGGTAAAAAGGTTAATTTTCAGTTGGTGAATGGTGACATAGTTTGTTTTACTGAAAAAAAGAAACAATTTTTTTTGACCAATTGAAAAAACGAAATGGGTCCTTCATGAACGAACAAAATAAAATGAAAAAAGTAGAAATTCTTGTGACATGTTTTTACAGTCGTGTAGTTTACAATGTTTATATGTTCTAGGTATACGGTTCCCCAGGGCAGTGTAGTTTACAATGTTTATATGTTCTAGGTATACGGTTCCCCAAGGGAGTGTAGTTTGGAAGAATGATGATGATAATTATTCACCTGGATATTCTACACTAGGCAAACCTTATTATTTATTTAGAAAAGGGAATATTTTATAAGAGAGTGATTGATTTAACTGTAAACCTTTGCAGTCAGATGGAGCTTTAATCTGAAAAAGGCTATTGGTCTAATATCCGCAGCTTATGGCTTTCAAAGGTTATTACAATTTACCAAGTTTTTCACCTCTTTCATTGGCCAGAGGCAGTGTCAGGAATGAATAAAGGAATTGAGTCTTTACCACAAACTCGGATTTTCCCATCCCTATATCTTGTTAACCTGAGGACAAAAACCTTTGATATTTCAAACTTAGGTTTTTTGATCTAAAAGAATTCATAGTTTGAAATATCTAAGGACTACGACATTGGGTTGAAAAGATATAGAGATTAAAAAATCAGAGTTTGTGGCAAAGACTCAATTCCTTTCCCCGATTTTTCATATGTCAGCTGAAAACTTATCCTCTTGATATTGAGTTCAGTCGTTGAAGCCAAGCATTGGCCCTCAGATCCAGCATGTTCTGCTTAACCTTTAGATTGTATTATTTCGCCAGTTTTTTTTAATTAGAAATTAAATTAATTTTGATTTGACTTTGAATCAGAGATTGGATTTGATTTCTTCAACTACGCTGGTATTCATCGGCCGGTCATTCTCTACACTCTACCCAGGTTCATATTATTATTTATTAAAGGGACTGTTGTTGTGTTTGAGAATTTAATGATGACTTGACAATCTCTGAAGATGATAATACAAAGGTTGAATTTGGTCTTCTGCCTTGAAAATAGTCTTAAACTATAAAGTATTTATATTGGCTACGAAAGAATATTCAGAGATCAGAACGCTTGATCTTGATATCCAATGTGGCCACTTTTAAATTTGAGGATCAATTATACTTGATCCCTTCGTTTTAGACTTCCCTAAAAGGTGTGGCCATTGACCACTTCAGTTTTCTCTGAAGTCATTTTTAAATTCTGCCATTAGGGTACCCCATGGTGAAATGATAAATTTGATCTACATACCCTGCCTTATCTTATGTAAAGATTGAAGTACCTCCATCATCCTCACGGTGTCAAACCTTATAGAAATCCAACGTATAGAAACCGCTACGTATAGCAACAGGGCGTATTTTCCGGGAAAACATTTTTTTATATTTTTGAGAAATTGAATTTTCAGTGTAAAGTAGAAATAATTTTCATAAAATCCTTTTATTTAAATGGTAAAACGGAATTTTATGAAATCATATTAGCATTATACTGGAGAACTTTTTTTTATACTTTTGAGAAATTTTTTCTTCTAAAAATAAAACTGTAGTTTGACACCCACACGTATCTGAATATCCCCTTCTAATCAGGGATCTTTATGTATCTGATATAACAACATCAACGCTAGTATCCAGTGACCACCTTCTCGCCACTCTAACTGTAGATGTGGAATTTACTCTGGCAGCTGGCAGCAAGCAACAAGATGGTGTTCAATGTGATATTAAATTACTTGGTAACTATTTTTTATTGTAATAATTAAAAAACTGCATGCCAATTGTGTCAAATATTTTAACCCCACCTCCCTTAGTAATTTCTAAAAAATTATTTTGGTAATTTTCCTGTCATAACCTTTAATGGCCGGGGAAAGACTGGTACCCTTTTTCATTTCTAAGAGAAAAAGAAATTGAATTTTTAAAAAATCTAATGAAAGCCTTCTCTTTTTTGTTGCACCCTAAACAGCAACTGTATGTCCTATGGCAGTGGCATTAAATATTTTATAATGAGAAGTCAATGCTTGGGTGTATGGAGATATGTTTTGTATTGATAAATCTGGACTCCTGCCAGATTTATCTATACCTATGAACTATGTTGTTTAGATAAATCTGGAGTAGAGGTTGGAGATCTGAACTCCTGTCAGGGAGATATTGAAATAAAGAACCCTGTTGTTTAGATAAATCTGGAGCAGAGGTTGGAGATCTGAACTCCTGTCAGGGGGATATTGAAATAAAGAACCCTGTTGTTTAGATAAATCTGGAGTAGAGGTTGGAGATCTGAACTCCTGTCAGGGAGATATTAAAATAAAGAACTCTGTTGCATAGATAAATCTGGAGTAGTGGTTGGAGATCTGCACTCCTGTCAGGGGGATATTGAAATAAAGAACTCTGTTTTTTAGATAAATCTAGAGTAGAGGTTGGAGAACTGCACTCCTGTCAGGGAGATATTAAAATAAAGAACTCTGTTGTTAAGATAAATCTGGAGTAGTGGTTGGAGAACTGAACACCTGTCAGGGAGATATTAAAATAAAGAACTATGTTGTATAGATAAATCTGGAGTAGAGGTTGGAGATCTGCACTCCTGTCAGGGAGATATTAAAATAAAGAACTCTGTTGCATAGATAAATCTGAAGTAGTGGTTGGAGATCTGCACTCCTGTCAGGGAGATATTAAAATAAAGAACTCTTTTGCATAGATAGATCTGGAGTAGTGGTTGGAGAACTGAACTCCTGTCAGGGGGATATTAAAATAAAGAACCCTGTTGCTTAGATAAATCTGGAGTAGTGGTTGGAGATCTGCACTCCTTTCAGGGGGATATTAAAATAAAGAACTCTGTTGTTAAGATAAATCTGGAGTAGTGGTTGGAGAACTGAACACCTGTCAGGGAGATATCAAAATAAAGAACTATGTTGTATAGATAAATCTGGAGTAGTGGTTGGAGATCTGCACTCATGTCAAGGAGATATTAAAATAAAGAACCCTGCTCTCTGGTGGCCGTATCTCATGTCAGAGACTCCAGGTAATAGATAAGAGGTACTAAGGAGATATTAAATGAAAAAAAAATCTCTTCCCTTTCATAATCCATTTATTTGTAGTTTTAATGCTCATCTATTTAGGATATATGCATCAACTGTTGGTGACTGTGTCTCATGTTAGATACGGTTCTGATGTTTATCAATTACCCATAGGGCTTAGGGAAATCATCTTATTAAACACTTACGGTGTGACCCATTAAAACTATGGAATATGAAGATACTACATTACAATTGCTGTGTTCCCTGTGTTCAATTGTTCATTGGCTATTTAGTTATACTTGTGTCTTAAAGTCGTCTTCCACTCCGTAATTTTGCGGGTCCTACAATATAAAGAAATAGTATTTTATATATTTTTAGATTTTATATATTAGGATGTAACTTCGTATTACTGAAACTAACAAAATTTAAAATTTACTTTTTGCATTCAACCCCCAAAACTACAGAAAAATAATTTTTTATTGCTTTTCATTTGGTAACCATAATAGTTTAACTTTTAAACCCAAAAATTGCTAATAAATAGTTAAAAATATTTAAATGCCTGAAAGCTAGCTTACAGTTCTCTTTCAGAATTTTTTTTTATTTCACCAAAAGAAATCTATTAAAAGTTCTTAAAAAAAACTTTTTTCCAATATTTTTTTTTCTTAGAAAGTAGGCTTTTTTACTGCACATTTCAAAATGTGATTTAACGATTTCCACAAATAATTAAGATAAATTTTAAGAGAGGTGAGCTGGGGGTCATCAGCATTTCAAATCAATCATGAGAACTTCTATTTCACAGGATTTGGTGAGTTAATCTTCAAATTTTTATTTATTAAAGGGACTACAGACGTATTTCCAATTGACCCTCCATGTTCATGGAGTTGTTTGAACCTTTGTCTCATCAAGGATTAAGGAGATATACTAGTTTTTTAAACTTAAAATTGATAAATCGTGGGTTCTCAGAGACAATGACGGAAATTTTCAGAATGTGTTACTCAAATAAAGGTTTGAAGGGTAAATATACCAAAAGTAAATAGCATTTTAAAAATGGAAGCTCACTTGAAATTACTTCCTAATACCAAGGAAAGGGAGCTGCAGTTTAAAAAAGTTTTGTGTTTGTTTTTATTTAAAATTTGAAATGAAAAATTAACCTTATTTTTGTCTCCTTAAGGAAAGACATCAGAAAAAAGTTGTATTTTATTGAAAAGGGAATTGAGTTTTTGCCACAAACTCAAATCTTCAAATCTTCAAATCTTTGCAACCTGATGGTGCAAACCTTTGATATTTCAAACTTAGGTTATTTTATCTATAAGTTTGAAATATTTAAGGTCTACGACATTGGGTTACAAAGATATAGAGATTAGAAAATCAGAGTTTGTGGCAAAAACTCAATTCCTTTTTCTTTTTTTATCACCTTAAAAAATGTAATGATTCCCATCAAATTAGTGAACATAAAGGGTTACTCGCAAAAACAAAGCTTTTAATGACTTCCTAAAATTGAACTATAACGATCTAAGGGATGGGTGCTGTTTTTCAAAGATTTACTTAATGTCTGTTAAAGATAGAAACAAGCTAACAGATGCACGGAACTTGGCACTCTCGTCTCTGAAGTATCTTTCTTTGTGGGTAACCCTGTATTTAACTTGAATTGAATTAGTTTAATTAAAGAAGTATTTATGGGTAACCCTGTATTTAATTACTTGAATTGAATTAGTTTAATTAAAAAAGTATTTGTCTAGGAAGACATGAAGATTCAAACATTAGAGGGAAGGGGCTTGATCTGCCCTTAGTTCTCAGGAAATTATTTAAAATTATCTTTTTTTTTTGCTTTAATCGCATATTTTTTCAACAATTAACCTAGGATGGAAACTTTTGAATGAACTGAATAGTTTTCAGCTGAATCACGAATAAGTATAATATAAAGTTTTGATCTCTAATAATATTATATTAGTATAAAAGACTTTATATATATCTAATACCTTAAAAAAAGCATGAAATTATAGGAAATGAGACAAAGTTACATTTACTGGGTCACTGACTTTTAACCGATCTAAAAATTAAATTTAAATGATCTAAAAATTACCGTAAATATGAGAATAAACGCCGCACTGATGCAGAATACAGTGAGAACCAGAAAACAATGGAATGGGAAGACGACATTAAAGCAATACTGATGTGCATTTAATGTTGTTATAAAGCAAATATTTGTACTAGACAAAATTATTGAATCAATAATTTAGTGTAATGGTTCTGTTTACACTGCACAATTACTGTTTCTCATGTTCATTGGACTTTTTAGAGTTATGAATTTTCACTAAAAGTCTTCTTCCTATTCCAAAGTTTTCTTCAGCTAAATCTCTTACTAACTCAATCAAATTTACCAAAAACTTTTGATAAAAATGGTTAGTTTTTGCTATAATTTCAAAAATTGATTTGTTAGAGATTACAATTTGATAAAATGGATTGGAGCCAACTCCTACAGGTATAAATAGTGAATCCACCTCCTACAGGTATAGATAGTGAATCCACCTCCTACAGGTATAGATAGTGAATCCAACTCCTACATGTATAGTAGTGAATCCAACTCCTACAGGTATAGATAGTGAATCCAACTCCTACAGGTATAGTAGTGAATCCAACTCCTACAGGTATATTAGTGAATCCAACTCCTACAGGTATAGATAGTGAATCCAACTCCTACAGGTATAGTAGTGAATCCAACTCCTACAGGTATAGATAGTAAATCGTATTTTTGTCTTTTTTATTTTAAAAAACTTCCACGATTTTCAAACCGTTTTCTGTTAGAATTTGCTTTTATTAATGTTTGCAGTATTTGTATACTAAAAAACTAAAAAACTTTAAAAAATGGAAAAACAATCCAAGAAGGTTCGAACGTACGTTCGTTTTTTGGTTCTTTTTTTGCATATTTTATTTTTTGTCAGCGTCAAAATTATGCCTAGCGTGAGAAAAGCAAATTTTTATAATAAACAATTTTGAAGACATTTACTTTTATTACACTGGAACAAATTTTGATCTTTAAAGAAAATATAAGTAAAAAACTAATGAACTTAAAGGGACTGTACGCGTAATTTCAAGAGACACTCCATACAAAAAATTTAAATAAACAGTTTATAAAAACAATAAGATATGATATAAATACTTTATCAGAAAAAGCTTTCAAGGCACGTGGATTTAACGGTTTCTGTCAATATTTCAGGAAGATGCGACTTTCAATCACAATTTTACCCCTTATACAGAAATTTTTAGCCTTTTTTCACAAATACTTTTTTGTTAGCATATACGTTTTAAATGAAAAAGTATAAAATAAATAAATCCGTAAGCTTAAAGACAATTGAATTATAGACAAAAAAACGTTTAATTATAAATAAAAGTAACCGAATGCCTCTCACTGTGAAGGGTACCGTTGTAAATCGGACTTTGCCATCTTTGCATGGAAGGTCACTTGAAATTATGCTTACATTGACTACCAGTACCATACTCTACCTATAGGACCTCCCACTATCCCTACGCAGATGAGATTATGGATTTAGCAGATGAAAACGGGATTGTTATTATTGACGAATGTCCTGCGGTGGCGCTGGATCATTTTGAGGTAACTTCTATTTGATTCAAACTCCTGTTCCTTTAAAGTACTGTACCGACTCATAGGAAGTTTGAGCAATTTGTACAGTATATATGTACAGACCATAGACGGCAAATCAAGACGGTACATCACTAAATAAATCTTCTCTTTATAAGGAGATTAATGTGAAAAGAAACAAATTACTTGCCACAAATTATAACTTTCTAGTCCCTATATCTTTGCCACCTGATGTCGTATATCTTTGCCACCTGATGTCGTATATATTTGACATATCACACATAATATTGATATGAATATGAATATTAATTTAAATAGTTTAAGTTTAAAATATTAAATAGTTTACACCATCCAGTTGTAAAAAGATTATACAATTTGAGTTTGTGTGAAGTGTGAAGTGCAGTTCCTGTTCTATCTAAAAAAAGGAAAAATATCACTTCCACATCCATAATCTTGTATTTGCATGATAGCTTCTCCTGACATAGTCTCAAAGCAGCAGAATAATTTTGCGTCTTCGTTCCAAAGTCAGTGGAGGCTTATGGAGGGGACGTCCCCCCTCCTGGAAAATTTGGGGGATGTCCCTCTCGCTGGAAAATTGGGGGGACGTCCCCCCCTGTTAAAATTAAGAGCGCAAGAAGAGAGAGCAGGCAACTTCTAGTCCTTTAATTTTGAATTTAAAAAAAAGATTTTTAAAAATTCCACCTCCTTGCTCATGGTTTTCACATAAAATTGAACAAATTGTCTGTAAAGAATTCCAGGGAGGGGGAATATAATGAGCCGCCCCTGCCTGAAGTCCTTATAAAGGTTAGTTATTCTTAACATAATCTTAGTTCCCTGCAGGCAGGTCAACTGTGTTCGGTCCCCCCCTCCCTCTGAGTCTCGGTTCTGTTTTCCACGAGACTTAGTCTAGTCTATAAGGGCTAGTTGGTTGGAGCAAAACTGATGCCGTTTCCACGCTTGGTTTGAGTCACAAGTGTTCCTTTGTTTTATGTGTGGATTTATACATTAAATTTTCCATGTACAGGGCACTCTCTGCTAAACCCCACCTTTTCTTCGGTCAATGTACTGCAGATCACTGCAGTACGAATCACAGGCTTAGTTAGGGTGAGGAGCAGGGGCGTACGAGGGATATCTTATTTTCCCAAGGATGAACTGCTGGTGAACCATCTAAAGTCTCTGAAGGAACTAGTGGATCGGGATAAGAACCGACCCAGTGTTGTCATGTGGTCAGTAGGAAATGAACCAAAATCTTACAGGTAGAGAAATACGGGTAGAGAAATACAGGTAGAGAAATACAGGTAGAGAAATACAGATAGAGAAATACAGGTAGAGAAATACAGGTAGCGAAATACAGGTAGAGAAATACAGGTAGAGAAATACAGGTAGAGAAATACAGACAGAGAAATACAGGTAGAGAAGTAAAGGTTAAGAAATGCAGCTAGAGAAAAAAAGAATTTTAAAGATGGAAATTGGAAACGAATCGCACACATTTTTGTTCCATCTTTCGATATTGATGGCATCGTTCATGGGTTTTCCGTTCTTTCCCGTTAAAGAACGGTTGTTCCCCGAGTATGACTTACAGAACACTCTAGCTAACACTGATCGGTTACTCATGGGCTAGATATATCGCTATTCTCTTCTGATTGCCCAACAGATTAAAAACTTTGTAGGTGCTGAAAATGCAAATCTTTATTTCGAAATATACCATAATAGAATCTGAAACTGCTTTGAAGCGTGAGACAGCAAGGTCAAACAGATATAAAAGTAATCACTCCCATCTAAGAAATTCAGGGACTATGATAGCTCTACTAAATTTATGGGAATCACTGTACGACAGTTGAGATGTAGAAAAAAATAATCTTAAAGGGACCGTTCACTTATTTGGGTAATTACGGGGTAAACTAAATAGCTTATTAGCAATTGATTAGTATTGGTCTTACTTTTCAAAGACAACTGTGGCCGGAGAAAAAATGGATTTTTCGTTTAGAAATCGAGCGCAAAGGGAACGGTCCTTTTGTCTGAAACGAAGTGAGCGGTCCCTTTAAAAATGTTGTGTAACTTTAATTTTAGTTTTTAATTGTTCTTTTTTTAAATTTAGAAACGATTCTGGAATATATTTTGAGAAAGTTTACAACTTTACCAGGCAAGTATACTTTAGAATTACAGGAATCAGATTTTATGAATAGCTTGAAGTAGTTGAACCGCGTAGACTAAGTTGATCCACTTCTCTTGTGCACTGGGTAATGGTAAGTAGAATTAATTCAGCTCAGTTCATGCAGCTCAACTATGTTTAGCTATTCTTTAAAACTGGTTCTTAGTTTTTTATTCATCTAATTGAGGTTTAAATGTGGGGTTTTCATTTTTTTGTTGCATTTAAAACGATTAGATTTATTTTTTTGTCGGGTCTTTTTAAGGTTTGTTTCTTTTTTTTCAAAACGTTTAATCAATTATTCTATTTTTGAAATGCCCTTTCATAAAATGTATTATCTGTGAAATGTTTAATCTACGAAATGTTTTACCATGAAATGGTTAATCTATGAAATGCTTTATCTACTAAATGTATTATCAATGAAATGTTTTACCATGAAATGGTTAATCTATGAAATAATTTATCTATGAAATGTTTTATCTACTAAATTTATTATCTATGAAATGGTTTATCTACGAAATGTTTTACCATGAAATGGTTAATCTATGAAATATTTTATCTATGAAATGTTCTATCTACTAAATGCATTATCTATGAACTATTTAATCTACGAAATGTATTACCATGAAAGGGTTAATCTATGAAATATTTTGTCTATGAAATGTTTGAATTGTTAAGTGCTTTATCTATGAAATTGTCTAACTTTGAAATGTTATATCTATGAAATGTTTATCTATGTTTTATCTGTGTTTTCACGTCCGAAAAAAAATGAAATGTCTTGCAAGGATTTCTGATTTAAAAGGCAGTTTAGTTTACATGTTATTTCTTCAGATCTTTGGACGGAACTCGAGCAATTACACTGGTGATCAATGCTGATTATAAAACAGAGCAGGCTAGCCAACATTTTGATGTTATTGCAATAAATAGGTAAAATTAGTTAAATACAGGGATTAACAGAACCGGATTGAAAGTCCTCTTTGTTATGTCTTTTAATAGAAACGTAACTGACTATCTAATTTGTTACTGTTATAATTGTGAAAACGTACATGAAGGTTAACACTTTTTGATGAGATCGTGCTAATCTTCAACGCTTGATCTTGATATCCGCTGTGAGGCTGTGGCTAATCTTCTACTCTTGATCTTGATATCCGCTGTGGCAACAATGTGATGTGTGATTGATCCCTGCACACGATATGATCACCAAGAGATATTCAATAGGAATTAAATAAATTCGTATGTCTTCTGCACAATTAATGAAGATCAATGCTTAATCCTGAGATTGACAACACAAAAGTTCTAGGCTCTCAACATTTTCTCGGATATATCAAGATCATTATATGTAATTGAGAACTAAGTACTCTTTATTTTGAAATCCAAAGATTCGACAAAGACTACTTTTTATTCTAATTTATATTGGTTTTGATTTATATTTATAACAAATAATAAAAATAAAATATGAAAATAAAATATTCCCAATTTGTCAAAAAATAACAAATAATAATAAAAATAAAGAAACAAGGCTTTGAATCAAAATATTAAAGAAGAAAGACTCCCTCAGAATTTTGAGATGCAGAAAAATGCTTCAAAAACCCCAATCACCCTTTTTTTGGTACCCCATGTACATATTCAATTTCACTATTATTCCCGATCCGTTCTGGATTTAAGAATGTCGAAACTCTAAANCAATTATCATACAGGGAAATTTTCATCTTTCTAAACATCCCAACGAAAGATTTGACAGGTTCTTTCAACAATTTTTTAACTGAAAATATCTTTGATAAGAGAAAAATAGGATTTGAAGGGGAAGAGTTTCGAGTTTTAATTTTTGAATTTTAAGTTTATACATTCTTTTATTTTAGATATTTTGGTTGGTACAGTGATACTGGGCATCTGGAAGTAATATATAAACATATGCTTAATGATCTCAAACATTGGAGAGAATCTAGAGGTTAAAAATGTTTAAGAATATTTTTTTTTTATGAAATCTTTTTTTTTGACACGACAAAGAGTTCAAGTCCTAGAAAATGTTTAAAAAAAAACTACTTTTTACGACAATTTAAAAAAGAAATGAAGTGAAAATTTGCTTAGAAAGTCACAAAAAAGTGATTACTCCAACTTTTTGTCATGATTGTAAAATATTCGCCGTAAAAAAAAAAATAGATATTTGCCTCAATTTGTTTAAATTGTAGGTAAACCCGTAATGGTCACAGAATACGGAGCCGACACTGTCCCAGGTTTTGTAAATTATTTCATTTTTGAAAACTATATATTTTAAACAAAAAATGTTAAATCCACACACATAAATAAATAAATATATAAATATAGAAATACATAAAGTTGTAATCTCTGTTATGATGTCTTTTTGTTTATCCGCTCATAACTCAGGAACCCCTGGACCGATTTGCCTCAAATTTGTATTGGGGAAGTCGGGAGAACCACGGGCATGTTTTTAGTTTGGTTTTAAGATTTTAAATTGAGTGGGTCGACTTTTATCGCGAAAAGTTAGTTTCCCGGTAAAAAAAGTTTAAGTGCGTGTAAACGGCGGGAGTAACTATGAGTACCCTGTGCCACGCTGGGTTCTCAAGCTCAAATAGATTATCAAGTACAATAGGTGGCAACAGAGAAATGGATCAATTATATACATACACAACGTCCCAAGTGTCAAATATAACAAGGAAAACGAAATTGTCTCACAATAGTTGACATGTTTTCCAAGATTAAATAAAAAAGTGTAAAAACAGAAACTAAAGAACAGACGAAACTGCACTTATTTTACTATAAGAAAAGCACTTTATTCTAAAATTATCACTATTATTGATTATTTTGTCGGACACAATATCTGAGATGACACTTTTGACGTCAGAATATAGCTGTACTGAGAGTGTACAAATTCTACGTTGCCATCTATTGTACAAGAATCTATTTGCTCAAGNACTGAGTTGACACTTTTGACGTCAGAATACTTAACTGTACTGAGAGTGTACAAATTCTACGTTGCCATCTATTGTACTAGAATCTATTTGCTCAAGCTAGTAAAGTAAAGTTGCCTGTTTGGGTGTCCGATATCATAACTCATGAACCTCTGGGCCAAATTACCTTAAATTTGTATTGGGGAACTCGGGAGAACTACGGGAATGTGCTAAGATTCTAGTTTGAATAGTTTGACTTTTATAAGGATAACTTTGTTTCCAGACAAAGATGGGTTCCCAAGCTAGTTTAATAAAAAATGGATGTTTTCATATTTTAAATTGTAATTCCCTAACTTTTGAATACATCATACAGCTAAACCAATCTTGCGGCTCAAGGATTTGGACTGTTTTTTGGGGGAGGCAATTAATCTTTGCAGAACAGTTTCAAAGTGGGATGTGGATGTAATCTAAACTGACTCCATAAATAAATTGGCCCGATTCATAACGGCAATCTTAAAAGCTTTGTGTGATTAGAAATGCATAATTTTGATTATTTTAAACCGTGATTTCTCAATAAAGTGACTTTTGAATTTCTTTACTTCAGAAACAATAGAGGAAATTATCAGAATTGATTAGGTTTTAAAGTTTAAATTAAAGTTTAAAAACGCCAGTATCTTCCACATTATTGATAAAATTGAAGGGTACCGTTGTGAATCGGACATTCCCCTCTCTAAATGGACTTTAAATTACAACGATGGTCCATTTAATCAGCTATTTTGCTGTAGGAATCCACACCCTACCTGCAGTTGTGTTTTCAGAAGAATATCAAATTCAACTGATGAAAGAAAATTTTAAGGTAAAAAAACAGAATTCTAAATTAATATCTTCCTCTGTGGTCTTGGAGCGGGGGAAGGAAGGCGGCCATGAGCCTCAACCGTTTTCTCTGTCATGCCACATGTTAGCTTTTTGTTTTCTGGCAGCCATGAGCCACAGCCGTTCAGTCTTCCATGCCACAACATATTCTATTGAAACTGGAGCCCATGAGTTATCAAATTAATGTCTAAACTAACTAACACTTATCTATCTATGAAATAAAACAAGACATTTATATTTATGTTCCCTCTGGCCGGCCAAACGGCTCGAACGAATGGGCTAAATTTTTTCGTGGACACTCGTGGGTAGTCTGAACAGGCAACGCCGGGCCCTTCAATGTAAAGGATAACATTTAATATATGAGCGAAGAGCTTTGATAAATAGATGTATACTATTTACATTTTGTTAAAGGCATTCGATGAAGCAAAAGCTGAAGGGTGGTTCATTGGAGAAATGATTTGGAACTTTGCAGGTTTGAAATTTAATAATAATGCGGTGTTAAAATAAGTTTTAAGCATTTGCAATACGATTATTTGCAATGGAGGTAGCTGATGACAGAGCTCCAGTTCTGAACTAATTTAGTTTTTTTTTATTATCTATGATTGATTTTCGCTCTAATAGGACAAAAAAAACATTGTATTATGTTTATCGCAAATTCTATGCACATTTTAAATTGGGGTAATCCTCTTTATCAATGCAATTGTTTGTAATTGATGCAATAGCCTCAGTTTTCAATTTGCAAAATTATTTAATTAATGAATACTGTCATTATGNTTCACCCTAATGTAAGCGTAATTTCAAGTAAACCTCCATGCACAGATGGCAATGCCCGATTTACAACGGTACCCTTGAAAGCTTTGTCTGATCAAGTATGAATTAGATATATCATTTCCATATTCAATTGTTTTCTCTATATAAGTGACTTGAGCATTTCTGCTGCAGAAACAATGGAGAAATTCAGAAATTAAACCTTGTCAATCTAGAAACGCGATGTTCCAGATTATTGATAATCTAGGTTTAAAGGGTACCGTTGGGTACGTACATGTCCCCATTTTTGTTTGTTTTTAAATCACTAGTCTCTTAAAATTACAACTACAGTCCTTTTAAGCCCTAAAATAGAACATTTTATGGTGCTTTAGCAACTATCAACACAAAGGAAGTGAGTCTTTACCACAAACTCTGCTTTCTAAACCCTATATCTTTGGATTCCAATGTCGTAGACCTTAGATATTTTAAACTATGAATTCTGTTAGATCAAATGATATAAGTTTGAAATATCAAAGATTTACGACTTTGGGTTCCAAAGATATAGGGATTATAAATTCAGAGTTTGTGGAAAAGACTCAATTCCTTTAATTCATCTTGCTTAAATGCAGAAAGTGCGAAAATAGGATTTTCATTCGCAATTTATGCAAATTGTGATCTGTATAGCTGGATTTGGATAACTTATTTGGAAAAATTCAAAACATCAATCTTGTTACATGCCACACAACAAATATGTTTCAACTCAGCTTCTGTTATAAATTTATAACAGAGACTGAGTTGAGACATATCTTCAGATATAACACAAGAAAATAGAAACTATTGCGCTTAATTAATATTATTGTAGAGTAACAGTAAATATTATTGCTTGTAGAGCAACAGTAAATATCATTGCTTGTAGAGCAACAGTAAATATTATTGTAGAGTAACAGTAAATATTATTGCTTGTAGAGCAACAGTAAATATTATTACTTGTAGAGCAACAGTAAATATTATTGCTTGTAGAGCAACAGTAAATATTATTGCTTGTAGAGCAACAGTAAATATTATTGCTTGTAGAGCAACAGTAAATATTATTGCTTG